AAAGAGCTATTTTTCTATGGTATTGCAAGCCCTGGTGGATCACCAGAGATGTTTTACCAACATCAATGTGGGATGGTGCATTATGCATGATTTTTAAAAACATAGGGCTATTCAGAAAGATGCAAGCAGAGACTTTCTTTCCAGACCGGTGGATTACCATTGGGGATATGGAAATACCAATAGTGATCCTTGGCAATCCAACTTACCCTTCATTCCCGTGGCTCATGAAGCTGTAGACCGGCCACCTCGACAGCAGCAAGGAGCGCTTCAACTACACACTCAGCAGGTGTAGAATGGCTATTGAAGGTGCCTTTGGCCATTTGAAAGGGCGCTGGCACAGTCTACTCACGCAATTAGACTTTAGTGAAAAAAATATCCCCATGGTTATAGCTGCCTGCTGTGCGTGTCATAACAACTGTGAAGCATTGTTTCCACCAGGGTGGAGCACAGAGATGGAATGCCTGGCTGCTGATTTTGAGCAGCCAGATATTAGGGCTATAAGAAGAGCTCAACAGGGAGCTATAAAGCTCAGGGAGGCTTTGAAAGACTATTTCAATAGTGAACCACAGTAATGTGTTATTGTTGTAGTGTGCTCTGCTGGGCATTGTTTTTTAGCACCCCGGTACGAACCTTGTAAAGAGTGCTGTGTGTGTGAGAATATAATATTGTGAATGCACCTATTGCTTTTATCTTTTAATGATGTCAGCTCCAGCCACTTTATGTTGTGAACTAATAAAGATGAATTAATTTTCCATAAATAAACGTTTATTCCAAACATATGCAAACAAAAACAATTGTAACTGAATGAAACTATATAAATTCAGGGAAAAGAACCTTTAAAAGGGAAAGAACATTCGTTCTCATTTCAAACAACACACCAACAGTCTCTCTCTCTGGCCAAAGTACGTGCGGCTCTGATTGTCTCTACTCTTTCCTCAGGGTGGAGGGGTAGCAGTACTGCAGTGGCCCTGGAACATATGGGGTGGGTGGGATGGGCAGGGAGGTCCCAGAATGCAGTTATCAATAGGCTGCAGTGGGAGATGACCACCACAGGTGACTTAGACCAGAAGGTCTATAAGAGTCTCCAGCATGTCCGTCCAGCACTTGAGAAGCATTGTCATGTCTTCCTGCGTCTATCCCTTTGCTGCACGTTTCTCCTCTCTGCACTCTCCCTTCCCATTCTGTCAAGAAGGGCACTCCTCCAAGCAAAGGCTTGCAGGATCTCTTGGAACATGTAGTCCCATGTTCTCTTTCTTGATCCATAAAAGTTACAAGTACTACAGACTCACTTCCGCTTGGGATTCATAGAGCACAGTGGCAGTTCCAGCCATAGTGAGTACGGCCCAGGGAGAAAGGGGCAATTTGGGACAATAAGTGGGGGGGGAGCACACAGGCACCAGCATATGTGGAATAGGGCAACTGAACTGAATACTGGCACCGTTTTCCACAGGTGGTGGTGATTTTAGCTAGTATCGCACTCCTGAGGGTAACCCATGAAAGGGAACAGCCCCTACACACTTCTGGATGCAGACCAGGTCCATATGCTGCTAGCCTGTGTGCTGCAATGGTGCTAGCTGAAGTAATTGCTGACTGGCTTGGGAAAGTGTCCTACCACTGTGGAAGAAATAGGGCAGCCCTCCCCAGAAACCTTCAGCAGAGGATTGCAGACTATCTCCAAGAAAGTTTCCTTGAGATCTCTATGGAGGATTCATGGGACATCCCGGTGTGCATAAACAAACTGTTCCTCAGGACCCACTCTGCCTCACTATATAGGGGAACGAGAAGCAGATAGCAACTCTTCCTCTACTGATTATTTCACTACATCTTCTACCCTGATTAAAAAATAGCAAACGAACTGCAATATCAAAGCAAACTGCATGCTTACCAGAAGTTCCTTCCCCTACTATCAGGCTTGCCAGTGCTGTACAGTAGGGACTGACTCGACTGCTCCGGCATCAGAAAGAGTTCCTGGCTTGCCGCACAACTGGATCCTCCAGTAACCTGTTCCCCATACTCCTCCTCCATTTCCTCATCCAATACCTCCTCCTCACTATGTACTACAGGGGCCAGCCCCCGGAAGTATCCACAGGCAGTGGGCCTCCACAAAGGATGGCATGCAGTCTCTTGTAGAAGCAGCATGTTTTCAGCTCCGCTCCAGAGTGACTGTTAGCCTCCTTTGCCTTCTGGTACACCTGCTGCAGCTCTTTGATTTTCACATGCACTGCTGCATATCCCTGTTGTAGCCCTTCTCCCCATGCCCTGAGCGATCTGCTCATAGATATTGGCGTTTCTATGGCTGGATCAGAGCTGTGCCTGCAGAGTCTCTTTTCCCCACAAACCCAGGAGATCCACCACCTCTGTGTACTCCAGGTAGGAGCGCGTTGCTACGTGGAGCTGGCATGGTCAGCTGGGCAGTTGCTATGTGAGCTCTCCACGCAGAACAAACAGGTAATGGAATTTAAAATTTGAGAGGCTTTAAAAGGAGAGAGTTGAGCTCAAAACCGTGACCAGAGCAGTCATAATGGGGCATTGTGGGATACCTCCTGGAGGCCAATAAAGTCGCCATAAATAACAGTGTCTAACCTGACACAGCATCAACCTAACTACAAAGACCTAAGTGCTACACCTCTCGTGGAGGTCAAGTTATTAAGTCGGCATAATGGTTGAGTTACATTGGCGGGAGCAACATTTTAGGGTAGATTCTTAAGAGAGGTAGGTTGACATAAGCTGCCTTGCATCAACCTAACTCTGCAGTGTAGACCAGGGCTAATTTTCTTCTTTTAGAGGCAACACTTCCTTTTTGCATAACCAAGATGACAAGAAATCCTTAGCCTGATTACAAGTAAACAAGCCCCAACCCAAACAAAATGAAAAAAAAAGCCAAGAACCTCTGTCATCTTTACCAGCCTGAAATGAATGGGAAACAGTATGTGTATACTAGGAATATTTTTTGCATTCACAGTAATTGTATAATCTTTCTCTGAGAGAAGACTAAGTTATTCCATCAAATATGCTAGCTTAAATTTTTTTTTAAACATATTCAAAACCTTGACTACAGCAATGTGAATTGGCTAAATCTATATAGAAAGAGAAAGAAACACACACCTTTAATGTTTCCAGAACTGAAAAGGGAAGACTGATAGGAAAGGCAAATATATAAAGCAAAGTAACATTTATTTTTGACATCTCAATTTTGTTAGACTAGTGCAATTACTTTTGTACAGTTTAATTTCCTGAAACTTGTTTTTTAAAGTGTGGCAGTCAATCAGGAAAAGAAAGTAAGCAAAATAAAGTTTCAGCAATTTAAAATTTATTATTTTATAGTTAATATTTCTTCTGTGATGAAGTTTTAGATAGTTTAGTAGAGTGGTTAATGGTTTATTATACTAGTAGAGTGGCTACAGATAATAGAATTACAATTTTAAAAGCTTGGTAAGAACTTTGCCTACTTTGTAAAGGAGGGAATTTTGAATCTCAAAAATTCAGTTCTAGTACTACATCTGTGTAACATTTGGGAAAAAAAATAGTCCAATGCTCTTAATGTACAATCCTGTTCCTTTTAAAAATCAGTTTATCATAAAAGGGACCTACAAAGCAAAACTAAAATTTTTAATTAAGTCTAGATACCCGTACTAAATGTCCACAAGAACCAGGATGAGAAAGGTATTCAGCAAAAAAAGTAAATATTAAGCAACTTTAAAAAATAAAACAAGTTGTGTGAAATCCTTTTGTTTACGTACTTCCTGGTTCACTCTGACATCATCATAAATTGAACTGTTATGCCAGTACTTATATTACATCACCTTCTGGGAATATCTTCAGTGAACAAGAAAGTACTAATATTATATTGGAAGGGAGAAAAGATATATATTAGTTGTATCTTATTGGTATGCTAATGAACCCCACAACTTGGTTGGTGAGTACACGTAATACATATATCTGTGCTAATTCGTTTTCACTGGGCTGTTCACATTTAACCGACAATGTTAGATGAGCAACCTAGAATTGAAAAAATCTTGCAGACAGGTTCCAGCAAACAAAACCGTGATGCGTATCTAAAAAAATCACTATTAAAAATAATTAGCTATTCATAGCTTTTAATATCTAAAGACTGGTATAATAAAAAAATTTCACCCTCAGCAGGCTGAAATCAGATCCTTTTAATTTTCAGGTTCTTCAAAGCAGAAATGAAATAAATGTTTTCCCAAACTATATCATTTGCTGAATACTGAGTGGGCAAATATGCCAACTGTCATCCTTAGAGAAAATGGTTGAAAAAAAGTAATAATTAAGTTTCTGGATATAGAATTAGAATGAACTCCACGCAATGAGTCTGATACCACAGATCACAAACAGATTTCTCTAACCAAAATGATTAACTTGCATACATAATAAGAACATGCTATGTACTGCTTATTTCTATTACACATAAATCATGGTAACCGTTTCGTATATTGCCCAGCTTTTTCTGTTTTTCAATATATTTCATAGTTATTGTATCCAGTTTAAGAAGGCAAAAAACTCTAAAGGTGTACTAGATACCCACACCCCTCTGTTTTGTTGAGGTACATCAAGATTCTTCAACCATTTGAAAAAAGAGTGGGCCTCCATTGCAACTTGAATTCTACAAATCTATTGCAGATTTTATAAACATGTTTTTTGCAATAATTGGTTATCCTGGAAGTTATCAGAGACCCACACATTTATTCAAAGCTTTCATCAATCCGATTTCCACCTTCAACATGTTCATTTGATTTATGACACCCATTCTATGACAGATAAAACATTTGTAGCCCTTTATGTGTTAACCGTATGCTTACATACCCACATATATAGCACCTAAAGTACTGCATCCATCGAATAAGCAAAACCAAGGACTCATTAATAAAGCTTTGTTAATTGTATGTAATAAACAATCATCTTCCCAAGTTCTTTGATTTGTGCTCGCTATGTCAGGGTTGGTGGAAAAGCATATCAGAGTGTGAGTAGATTAATATTACCTCCAACCTTAGGCCCACCAGCTGAACCTGGTTTTCTTGCACTGTTTGAAGGATTCCCGAGTTTTTTAGGTGCAGGAACCTTGAAAGCTGAGGCAGCTGACGATGGCCTATTTCCATCCACTGACTCCTCATCATCAAAGCTTTTATCTACAAAAGGATACATAAAAGAAATTTACTTATGAGAACAGAGGGTTTTTTAAAAAATTGCTCTGCTGCACTTTTCACAGAAATTTACCAGAAGATCAAATAAAAATCAATACTAATTTTGCCCTTTGTCTATGGCATGGGAAACAGATGAAAAATAAAAATAAAAAGCATTTTAACACCACAAGATTGTATACAATACTGCCTTTGGATTTGCAATTATCATCATCATATTAAACACAAAAATGAATCCTACATATTCATCACAAAAAGAAAAATTCTCTGCACAGGTTAAATGTTTCCTGTCCATCATCTTCCCAAAAATGAATATAATATTCAGTTCATTCCAGGCTATTCAAGAGCAATGCTTCTCCCTTTTCCTCTACTCATGCATGCATTTTCTGCTACACATCCTCCCACAATGTGTCTACCAACACTCCCTGTCTCATTCCTTCCACCCAGATCTTGCAACTTACAATCACAGATCCGCTTGCAGATCAACCGCCTCATTCCTCTGATAGCTCTTAATTCCCCTCACACTAGGATGCTCCCAATACCTCACATGGCCACACACAATAGATTCTCAATACCAATCAAAGATTCTATCCAAAACTGTCAGAAAACACCATAGCTCCACCACTGAGATTTGTGCCGGCATCTTTCTCTCTCTTCCCTGCACTAGGTGCTGAAACAACCAATCAGCTTCAAGGTGACATCATCTTCTGGTAGCCACTGCCAGATGAAAAGGTGAAAATTCTTCATACATATAAATTCATTCCCACACACACAATATCTGCAGCCACAATTGCAACCCTTTAAAAATTTCATAGCCATACTTTGCTTGAGGGTTTTCTCACACACTCAAAAAATACAAGGACTTGTCTTTTGTTCAGTCAAGTCAGAAACTCATCTCCAGACAACAGTTAAAATATTCTCAATAGAGGATGTGCTGCACTTGGTGTTTAAATTATTTTTTTTATTAAAAAGAATTCCAGAAGCAAACTGTGACCATTTTGTAATTCATTTAGTAGAAAAAGTTGGATTTATCCAGACCCTGTAATGCACGTAAAAACAAACCTGTAGTTCATATCATAAACAAGATGGGTGAGGCTGACACACAGCTGCATAACAATGATATAAGCCAATTTAAAAGATATTTCTTCACTGGAACCTGCCATTTCTAAAAAATATCACAGCACTGCTTTTATTTCAGGAATTTTCATGTTTATTTAACCTTGGTGTACACTGAATGGCAAAACGTTCCCTATAAAATGAGCTATATTTAAAAAGAATCTCCTGGGGAAAGACACATTCACTATCATATGAGAGCAAACATGTTTTTCCAAATGGCATTTATAGCGACAGCTGATGTAAAAACACTGAGCATTCTAGGGTTTACTTTAGTTTCCTAATGACAGTATGACTTCAGAAATATTTTTGTTTAACCAAAACAACATATAGCAATACTAAACCTCTACTTTCATTTACAATCAAAAACCTAGAAAATATCAGTAATAGTATATCTGAACATTTTCTCCAACATGCTTGTTTCCTTTCAACTACCATTATAAGAGAATGTGATTAAGAATACTTCTGTATATGGATATGTAAGCAAAACAGAATGCAAGAGGAAGGGCAGTGAAGAAACACACACTATTCCATGAGTTTCCATGGAAACAGTACTTAGTCCTCACACAAGAACTGGGAGAATACACTTCAGTTCTAACTAAGAAAAGACACTGATTTAACTCTTAGTGTCTTAAAAATGTAACTGTAGACATCAGCATTTTTTAAAGAAACTGTTAGACCCATTAATCTAATCACAAGATTAAGTTTTATAAACTTAATGCTGCATGAAATAAATGTTAATGGTAGTGGTTAACACTGAGGATTCTGACTCAGGGAAACAACGTAACTTCAAAATAGTATTAAAAATAGGCTATAGATGAAACCAATTTTTAACTTTTTTTTTTTTTTTTTAAACATGATGAATAGCCACCTAAAACTTCTTAAATTAGGATACCAGAAGTAGCTGATTATTAAAACTCAACTCTACGTTTATTTTTCACTGTTAATACATACATATTGCATTTTTTTCAGCTTTGATTATGAAAACAGGTTAGACTTTCATATTGTCAGTCAAACGCACAATACTGCAGTCTATGAGTTGCAAACAGTGTATGATAAGACCATTTTTATTAAAAATAAAACTGTTTCCAGTGCAATTAAAAAGTAATGGTAAGATTTCTGCTGATTTTACATTTGTAAAGGTTCTTATTCCAGGGTATATATGAAGCTGCAGGAGACTTAAAAAATAATACTGGACAGATTTCTACTGAAAATGCACATAAATTACTCTATAATCCTACAAATACATAAATTGAATATGACACCTAGTTTAATAAGAAATTTTAAATCTAAGATGATAAAATAATTACATTTAAGATTTTATAATATATTAAGTCAAAATTTAATTATAGTTTTAACAGGAATTGCAACTTCCCCCCAGCCTTGCGTGTATTTATGTCTGTGGGTTTTGATCAATCCCCATTGAGCTTCAGGGAGGCTCCAGTTCTAGAAAGACCCATAACAGCATTTGCATATATCCGAAGCCTCAAATCTGTGTTTACAGAAATTATTACAGGCTTATATAAATGTATTACATTTGCTTCAAGTATTATGTAAAATTCATATCTTTTCACACATATATACACGGACATTTGAGTACCTAATCATGAAAATGAATACACTTGTATTTATTCCCGTCTGCAGCACTCCAGATTTGGGCAGCTTTTTCAGCAGGGTATAAATCCACTAAAATCAACTGAGTTGAATCCACCTACTCCTGGCCATAATTTAGCCCACTGAATACAGCTGAAACACTGCATCTGGTCATCTTCAGATTAGCAGCCCTGGTGGAGTCCTGTCTATGCATGCAGTTTTCAAATTTATTTCATTATTTCTAATTTTTTAATTAATTTCACTATTTCCAAGTCAAATTTCTTCACTAAGTATAGGAAATTGCAATAACTGGGGATAATGTGTAAAGTATATATGAAGTTTTAAAATTAAATTGTTTGAAAATTACCTCAAGATGTGAAGGGGGGAAAAAAAACAAAAACAAAAAACACACCTCTTCCATTCTGGGATACCACAAAATGGCCAAACAATTTTCACGCACAAAATATCACACATACAAAATTTATTTTGAGACCAAGAAACCAGAACCCTAAATAATATTTTTTCCAGAAAGTTACAAGTTACTGAAAGCAGGAGTTATGCAAGCTGATCCATAACTTTAAATAGAGAGTGTTGCTATAACATACAGTAGCATAATACCTTGTACATAAGAATTGAACATGTGTATCAGAATTTCAGGAAGCAAGCAATGCACAGCAAGCAATGAACAGAATTAAGTTGCAAAGGAAATGGAGAATTAATGGGGTGAAAGAATTCAAATTTCAGTCATTTCTCTCACTGCAGTTTGGTGACTCAGCAACTTCATTTTAAACAACACAGGTGAACTATTTAAAGAAGAAAAAGGGAGTCAGGACTTGTCTATACAGTGGGGTAATTCACTGTAGGAGGGTATGATTTCTAAACTGCAATAATGTGTTACTCATCAGTAGGTCATGTAGACCCTGCTGGTGTGCACGAAAGGTTCATTACAGTGCTTTAATGTACTACTTCAAACACCACATTAAAGCACACTAGCAGTATCAACATGGATCAATTTATGCGCAACATGTTAGTATGCTTTAGAAATCACATTCCCATATAGCGCATTACCCCATCATGTAGACAAGCCTTTAGGCACCCAACTCCCCATTGAAATTCAGTGACAGTTGGGTACCTAATTCGCTCAGGCCCCTCTGAAAATCTAAGCCTATATTCCTACTAGTTAGTGACAATGCATTTCTAATGTGAAGCAAAATTTCTCTTAAAATGGACACTTTCAAAGTAAAAAATTAAAGCAACTCAAAATGTGGGTTTGTTTTTATCTTTAAGATTAAAATCCAGACATGGCAATTAGCATGGACTGACTGTCCTGAGTTGTACTTGCTGCCCATGACTATTATACCATATACAGTATTTAATGAGTCACCTAGAACCTGTGAAGTCCTGTATATTTCTACAATACAGGCTGAACAACTGAAAGCAACAACAAATGCAGAATGAGTTTGAAAGTTTCTAATAGCTGGAGGAAGAGTATGCCACAGATCAAGCACATAATCACAGAACACTAGCTTCTATCACCATAAGATTAAAATCAGGGCAAAATAAATAGGTAATTGTCCAACTATACCAAAAGAAGGCCAGGAGACCCTGGATGTGGTTTAATTAGGCTGCAACTCTATTAACAACTGTCTGGGAGTACCTGGCAGATAAAAATGTACAGTGTAGGTAACTCCATGATCATTTCAATATCTACCCAGGGGGCTTCCACCAGTCCCCTCCTTTTTTTCCCCCACTCTGGTCCCCAGCCAACACGCTGCTGAGACCTTTCCATTCCCGCCCCCTCAAATGAAGGGTAAGGTGGGCTATAAAGGAGGAGGGGAAGGTCGTCTCCCTGCCGTTCCAGTCACAGAAGCCACAAACCTCCCTGTTTCTGCTCCTTTAACAAATACTCCTTTAAATCCTTTACCAAACCATTTATCTGATCACTGTATCCCTTCCCTACAGAGCACCTGCACTGGATATCTGCTCCACATTTACAGAATGAGTTGCGACATCATAGCCTAACCCCCATTCCATGCTTGCCCCAACTAAGCCCCGCCCAAACTCGCTGTGAGGAAAGTGAAATAATACCCCCACACTCTGCCTTGGTCAACCTGGCAGTGAGGGAAAAATTCCTTCCCAGCCCCCCAAGAAAGGAGTAGATAGAGTGCCTACAGCAGATCCTGACCAAACCTGGTATTTTGCCACTTTCAAGGGTAGGAGAATGGGTGCTGCTCTGCTTGGTCCAGGTGAAAGAGGGCTTCCCCTGCCCTCTTCCAGTCAGC